TTCAGTACTTAAAGGGGGCTCATAAGAAAGATGGGGACAGACTTTTTAGCAGGGCCAATAGCAATAGGACAAGGGGTAATGGTTTTAACCTGCAAGAGGGTAGATTCAGACTGGATATAAGGAAGAAATTTTTTACAGTGAGGGTGGTGAAACACTGGCGCAGGTTGCCCAGAGAGGTGGTAGATGCCCCATCCCTGGAAACCTTCAAGGCCAGGTTGGACGGGGGTCTGAGCAATGTGATCCAGTTGTAGATGTCCCTGCTTAATGCAGGGGGGATGGACTAGATGACCTTTAAAAGTCCCTTCCATCCCAAAGCATTCTATGATTCTGTGATTCTATGAATTCAAGCTACACAACCCACCCAGAGCTACACTGTACTGAGCTCTGGGCGGGTGGGATCACACCCAACTCGCCAGCCATACAAGGAAGCTTCAGCATACCAGCCCAGTGCCAGTTGCATTCATAGACTGCAGAGTAGACTTAGACTTTAGACTGGCCTATGAAGAAAAACTTGAGATGCCTGTTGGAGTGAGAACATGTCCCAGGAGTGGCTCAGCCACTGGCAGGAAAGTAGCCAAAATTCAGGCATCAACTCTTGTGGCAGGTCGGAGAGTGAGATGGGAGAGGTGAGATTTTAACAAAACATCAGCTCTATGGACTCCACTGCCAAGCACATAAAATAAGCAAAATAAAATGTCTTGGTATACCAGCAAAAAAGCCCCATCCATTTAAAATACGTTCAAAGGTAGAACAGGCTAATGAGAAAGAGCAAAGTAAGTCCGCAGGAAGAGTGTGGTGAGTGTGTGGAAACTTCTCTGTAACAGCCTGCAGAAAAACTAAATGCAGAAAGCTGCCAAACACAGTATACACAGAGATCTTAAGAAACCAAACACTCAGTAAAATAAAGAGAAAAATCCCAGTGGAGCTTCCTGACTAGCTCCACCAGGAGACTCTGCCTCACAAAGGAGAGTGCAATTTTATTTTTCTTAGATGATGCATATTTCTACTGATAATGCTTTGGGACAGCATTGAAGAAGTTATCATCATGTGCTGTTTGCTTCTTGCCGATGCAGAAAAGTGCTGTAGTCCAGGATGTGTAGCCTGCCTGTGGTTAAATTGATAGGCTATGGAGTTGAGAAGAAAGTTTGAACCCATTTTTCCTGTATGAAAAGCTTCAGGCTGAAAAGTTGGGAGATTACTGATCCAGCAGTTTTCTTGAATGTAGAAAGTGCAAGCTGCCACGGTGACTGTAGTGATAGGCACCTGGTGCCTTGTCTACTTACAGTCCCTAAAAGCAAGGTGCTAAGGAATTTATACGGGGTGCAGGCACTGATTTTCCATTACTCTGCATGCGAAATTTCTGAAGTGATGTTGGTAAATCAGTACCTGTAGGTAAACTAGTGCATTACCTTCCCAATGCATCAATGCCAGTGCAGCAGGGGACAGCCAATGTTGCCTGTCTGCTTTAGCAAGCCTTCGATTGTAGATGATCAGGGCAAGTCCCCTCTCCATGCCAGGCCAGCACCAGCGCGTGCTCTCCATCGGCCCCTCGCCTGCACCCTGCTTTTGTGGGCAGGATTCGCAGATCTGCAGCCCCGAAGGGAGCAGTGATGTGTTCTGGTCCAGCCCCAACCCAGGGCCCTCTGGCAGTGCTCAGGCTATGCTTCCACTTACGTACTGCCTTGACAAATACAAGTCTAAATGCAGGTGGTGTGCGAATTGCTACCATGTGCCTTATCTGTTTTGTTAAACAGGGCAATATTTACTGTTGTTTACCATCTTTCTGGTTTCACCTCAGTCAAAGCATCCATTGAATTTTTCCTAATTTACCCTAGCAGAAATAATTTTAGAATCAGGCTCTATGTATTTATTTCAGTATTTTTTTCAAGACTATATGCTATGGAGTATCTTTCAGACCCTCCCCCCTCAACAAAATGTTAAAACCTAAACTTTTTATCAGTTATGCTATTTATATTCTGAATGTCACTTAATGTAGCCAACAGAGAAGGACAGACAGTTTCTGTATTGATTGTATTTTTTGGCATTCCTACTTTATGGCAGTGGTGTAGTATGAGGGTTACAGAATTCAGAAAGAGGCGTACTTATAGTCAGCTTTTTGATGGGATGTAGTTTTAATGAAAAGTGTCTTTTAACCAACTCATCCTTTACAAAGAACAGCTACATTCCTTTCACCAAGGAATATGTTTGTTGCCTGATTGAGAGCTAGTCTAAAAAGAAAGAAAAATGTTGTGTTAGTTTATTTCTTCCTTCAGCTGCGTGAAAAAAGCACTGGAATATTTCTTTGCATTTAACAATAACATTTTATTACTTTAAAATTTCAAATTTTCTGTGCTCTGGAAATTCTGTTTATGACTGAGAACAGCCGGGTGAATATCATCATAGATGATTAACTTTAAAAGGGAGTTATTTTGATGCAGACTATTTAATTGTGTTTCTGAAGCCAAGCACCTATTTGACTTGGATCCTAATGAGGAGAAGAACCTACTAGAAAGATACAACAACATCCTGCTGCTGTAGGTGTGGCCAAGGCTGCTCTGAGCTCAAATGACTGCATTGAAGAACCAGAGATGCTCGCCGTCAAAAGTTTGAATGATTTTGTGCGTAAAACCACTCCAAAAGGAAGAGCAAAGAGAGGGAAATGATGCTTTTAACAACGCATTTTTGTCCTCTCTAGGTTACTGGACCAGGCAATTTTCTCTCTTCCTATTGTCCTGGTGGATTTCAATGAGCTAGGGAGGAGAAAGGCTCAAAATGCACTGTGGAATATAACTTTTATGTGTGTTATTTGCTTGCTTGTTTAACTAGGGACAAGGGGCCCTGTCTGAGAGACTAAGGAGCTTTAGCATGCAGGATCTCTCGACGATTCGCGGAGACAGCAGCAGCACTGTTCCTCCTTCGGTCACTGTACGAACAAGTAGCAAACAGAGCCAGCCAAAAACATCCAGAAGTGCATCGGAAGGCACTGGCAGCTCAGGTAAGTGCCAGTGTTATTTTCAGTGTTGTGTCGTCTGGAATATCAGGCAGCTGGATGAAGTCATGCTGTTGGCAGGAATATATAGAAACAGACATTGCAGGCAGCACATACCAGAATTCACAGGACACAGACACTCTGTTGAGTCTCTTGGCACTTAAGAGAGAAAACAGTATCATCGTTTGATGGTTACTATTCCTGGCTGGTACCAAGGACTGGACTTGAGCGTGGAAGGGAGCCAGCATCAGTCCTTGCAACTTGAGCTGAAAAGTTGGGCTCTGGGCTGGGGGCTGCAAGCTGTGGTGGGTTTTCAATGAGAGGGACTAATGGAAGTGCAAAAAGGGGAGATAAGAATGCACAGTAGTGGGCAAGGGTCATTATTGTCATCAAAGACCCCATATGGTGGTACAGCCTCTCTCTCTTGTGTCATCTAAACATAAATGTGAGTTCTAATGGATATCTGTTTTGAATTAGGCCCACTTGTGTTGCTTCTAAACTGTACAGTAGCTGTTACAACACCTGACAGTTGTAGTTCCAGAACTTTATCACTGATGAAGCTTACTGAGAAATAAAACCCATATAAAGCACTCCCAGAAGCAGAGACCAGGATCTGACAGCTATTCACGATATGAAGGATGTCTGCATAAGCACTGTTGTGGAAAACAAGTCTCTCTGAAGGGCAATGGTTTGTTTTCAAATTCTGAAAGAACAAAGGGAAGAAACATCATGGTGGGAATAAGATCCATTCCTGAGCATTTAGTTACAAAAAATTATTTCAAGCTTGGTTAAAGAAATCTTTGTAAGCCCAGATCCAAACCATTTAATTGGAGATAGCTTTACAGATTAGATCTCAAAAATTGAGACATGGAGGGTTATCCCAAGCGGGGGGTTCCAGATGGCTTCTGGGATTCCCAAACACCACCAAAGATCATGCAACTTGACTGCTCTGATGAGAAGCCACAGAAAGTTGCAGGCGTGTTGCACTTGGTGGCTTGTGAAACACATGCTGGCAAGTTTGCAATTTAGCAGTTTCAGCTTGTGTGTGTTGAGGTCTGTGCGAACATTCACTGTGTTTCAAGCCTGTGTAGGTGGCTGCCCCTTCTAGTTTGCTTTAGTTTTGGAATGTATTAGAAATGTCTTGTCTTGTCCTTCCTAAAGAGCATCCTTCAAAGCCTTTTATAAATTCTGAGAATTATAGCTCACAGACTTCTCTGTTTAGCTTTTTTTTAACATCATCTGTTGAATAAATTCTCTTTACAGGTAAAGTGAAATAGCTAATGTTGGTGCACAGTGGTTTTATTATGATGTTTATGTAAGGTCTTGTATACACTTCTCTTGAAGTAATTCATCTGAAAGTAAAGTGTTCACACATGGAATATAAAACTCTTATTAAAAAAAAAAAAATCACATATCATTTAGACCAAAATAACAAATGGCACAAATAAAACATAATTTAGTTATCTTAATTCCATGTTGTGTAGAGCAGCCTTTGTAGTTTTGTAATTAAGGCAGCGATCTCAGCTCACCTGGCCACAAACCCCTGTCTTAACACACAGAAGTTTTTGATTCTGATCTGGTTTCATATCAATACTGTACAAGGATCTCTCAAAATGAATCTCTGGAAAATTGAATTGTTCATAAACTTTTCAAACTGAGCCTAGTGTTTATCACAAATTTTTGGATCCGAGTAATTTAAGATTGTGTTTTTAATTCTTCTTTTAATAAAAAACCTACAAATTTGCAAAATAGTTTAGGTTGGAAAAGACCTCTAAGAGCATCGAGTCCAACCATAAACCTAACACTGCCAAGTCCACCACTAAACCATGTCCCTAAGCACCACGTCTACCCGTCTTTTAAATACCTTTTAATCAGGTTAAGTGAAAGAAGTGGTCCTGGTCTCTCCAGTCCTTGTGCTGTTTTGTGTGGGCACAATTATATATGTAGTCAGAACATCTAGAGGGGCGAATTGATCAGAGTCATAACTATCATGCGTGCGTGTGTGTATGGAAGAGTGTGATCTATCAGCCAGACTGTATCACATCCTGAGGGCTATATTCGGGGTGAAACGACACTGTTCTAGGCACACCAAGCCCAGACATGGTCCCATCACTTCACCTTCCATATTCCTTTGGTTGGAGTGTTCCATATATATGCTATATATACATGTAATATATACATATATGAGTATGAGCATGAGCAGTCACTACAGAACAGCTGAGACACAGCTCTTTTTCCTGTCCCAAAGCCCTTAGTTAACACAAATGTCCATGTCGGCAGTCTCCACTGTCTCACAGAAACATTAGACTTCTCTTTATATTCCTGCTTTAGAGATAATAGGACTTAGTCTGACATCAGAGGGAGTCAGCAAAAATACCCCGGACAGTCTGACATGAGGATGACTCAGCCAAAGACCTCACCTTTCTTGTAAAAGGTCTTTCTAACCAGCTGTTAGAAAGCCTGACAGCAGTAGCTGGGATACACGAAAACAACTTCAAGAACATTAAAAGAGAGCCTGGCTGGGGCTGCAAACGTTGTGCCCTTGGTCTGAGTAGAAATCCTGCTTTAAGGAGACTTTTAGGGAAGGCTTGAAGGAAGAGGTCTGCAGAAGAAGCAGTGTGGTGGTTAGGAGGCAAGACTGTGAGTTAGGACACATGAATTCACACCCCGCTTTATTGCAAAATACTGGTGTGACCTGGAGCTACCTTTGTTCCTCAGTGTGCCTGTAAAACAGAACAAATTGTACTTCCCATGCCCAGGTCCGGAAAGCCATATGTGGTAGAAGATGCTCGTGTATTTTAAGGTCAATACCTTAGAAGATTTCTTATGTGGCTTTCCTGTACACCTTACTTCAGTGATTATAACATGTCAAATACCTGTGGAAAAGTTTTGTCTGTGCATTGATCGCAGTTTTGCAAGAAGGTTTCTGTTTGTAGTAACAGCGCTCTATCTTGCTGCTACCCCGAGAAGTTTCTGGACAACTGAAATGTCCCTTTTTATGCTTTGCCTTCCTTTATTCTGTCCTTTGTTTCCCAGACCAAGCATCTGAGAAGCTGCATGTGGGTGTGCTGGGATCTTGATGCCTTGCTGATCTGGGTGCCACTCTTACAGCCCTCCTTCTGCCATTTGTTCATTCAGGTGCTTCCACTCCCACCCATTTCC